TTTAAACGCACTCGTTCATAATCAAAGTCTACTAATTCAGTGGTTCAAATCTACCAATTTAATATAATAAAAATACTATTTAATCTGTTCTTTCAGGGATTGTTCCCGATTACAGAAAGACATTAAATTTATGAATCCCATCATCGGTTAATCCCACGAGACAACGTGTTCAAATTTGAACGAAGCATTAAAAGCAGAACCGCCTGATTTATTTCGAACATTTATACGGTTAATTGAATTTTATCATTTCACGTATCACTTTTCTCTTTTTTTTTATTTTCTATTTGTATTTATGGCTTCGATATAATAATCTCTTGTAACAACATTCTTTTATTTTTTTCGATCGTATTAATTTCAGTATGAAAACTTTGTGACGTACGCTCTGAAAGCTCGTAAATATAATATTCCGAATAATTCCGTTTTCGATATAAAATTACAAAATCCATTGATTTCATAAAATATGCGAGCGTCAGAGTGTTAACGTCCATTGCAAAACGAGTTTACTTGATTAACGCGCGAAATTGTTCGATATTCCGAAAGTTTCTCGTTTGCGACGCCGGTTAATGCACAAACGTGTTTGCGATCCTGAAATCTGACAGGATCAAAAGAAGCAATTGGTGAAAGTGGGAGTTCATTGAAAATTGAACCGAACGAACCGCGATGTCCTTTGTTTCGCGTAATCGAAATTTATTGCCAGTTTTACAATATAAATTTCAGTTTCCCGTACTTCTCTAACATCGAAATCGAATTACTTATTTTGCAATTTTAATTTGAAGCACATGCTTGAAGCGCCGCTTAATTCTTCCGCGATGCGGCGAAACGTAAAAAGCGTGCGGGCACTTTTAAGTAAACCGTTTTAAAATACAGGCGATCTTTGTAAGTCTAATCTCGGTATTTAGTACTCGCGCTCTGTATATAAAATATTTCCCCGAGCTTAGATATTTTAAACTCTCGGAATATTATCTGGAAATGCTGAGTGAGTTGACGGTAAAGCGGGACCGCATAGATCAGAGTTACATGGTCTGTGAATCCAGTAACTTTTGGTAATTTAGTTTTACGCCAACCGGTGGAATGGTGGCTTACGAGTGACCCGAGTAAAGTTTTCTCCGTTTATTACAGTTACGTTTGGAGTTACAGTTACCATATCGTACTGTGTATTTTCTCTTAACGAAGCATTATCTTGGAAGCAGCTCCTCGTGTTTTTAATTTTTTTAACCAACCTCGACTTATTTATTACCGATTCTTTTAAGAGGGGATTCAACTGTACGGCGAAAATACCGGTTCCTTAGCGGACGCATGATGTAGGAAGAAAGTTGGAAAATTTACGAGAAGCAGAGACGTCGTCCGTCATCGGGATCCGTGATCTCGTAAAGCCAGCTTTTCCGGAGGAACGTGGATTGACCTGGAACAGCCACAGGTCTGAACAATGATCGTAGGTGGTCGCAGGATCTCGTTGATCTCCAAGGACCAGCCTTTAGTAGAGGGAAACCGGTGCGGACGTTTTCCAATATCCAATAAAGCCGAACCTCGACCTCCAGTAGTCGAATGTTTCGCTCGGATGCGATTTAAAATGACGTCGTCACGGGAACACGTGCCTGTAAATGCTCAGTTTATGGGATTTGTAACTCGCTCCATGAATAACAAGATACAAAAATAATAAAGAATAAAACCACGTAAAACGAAGTACATGTATCTCCTAAATGTTAACAATCTTAATACCGTATTTCCATGTTTTGGCCAGATTTTTCTTTCGTTTAATATTTCGTTAACAACTGTTCCCAATTCTCGGACATACGCTTTAACTACAATTACTCCTTCATTTCCATTATACCTTTAATTTTCCTGGAGGTCCAACTGAAATTCTGTTGCATTATAGAGCAAAGCCTAGAAAGAGAAGAGAACCGAAGCATCAAATGGCGAGGAGCAGAGAGAGAAGAGGAGGCCCACAGCCTGGTCCGTTCTGACAGCCACGGACAGAAGAATGTCCGAACGTGGACGGAATCGTAAGAGGATTCCACTCGTCCTCGACCCTTTACATTTACATTCCATTCGTTATGCGGTAGCGGGTGTATTTGGAAAGGGTTCTGTCTCTACTCGCTGTCGCAACTACCCCTTCAATTTCAGCTACGCTAACAGCCGTTTTTTTTCCGCTCCGCGAATTTGCACTGCGAGCGTTGAACCGAGACGTACACACGTGTATTGTGCGCTCGAAATATTTGTAACGCCATTGTTGGTCGTCGTTTCGTGTACGGATTCCGAAATGCGACGTCATTGGACCTCATTTTTCCGTGTACATTACCTTATTTCGCGACGCTGCCACGATTATTAAAGCGGTTTACTTTCGTGACACTGCTGACCAATACCCTTTATCGAACTAAAAAGTCTTCTCCTTATCCTTTTATTTCAATTCCGATTTAATAAACGAACTTCGTACCATCTGTCGTTAGCTTGAAATAAGAATTTGCCACGGGGGTGCGTTTAAAGTGGTTTTACAAGTTATAAAGAACTCGGAGAAAGAGAAATATCGATGTACGATATCGCGGAACGTTTGTAACGTCTTTTGGAATAGAATGTTTGGATTGCAGCTATCGAACCGATAAGATCTTGCGGTACGATGTTCTAGAAAATGATATTTCTATGGCGGAGCAACGTTCTTTCGAGAGAAACGGAAGAGTTTCCGTAACTTCAAATAGCTTAACTTTCGGTCAAAAACTGTAAGAAATTGTCGATGCAAATTTTTACAGATTCTCGGACTAAAAATGTGTCCTTCCTTCTACCATGTCAAAGGCACCTTTTGTTTTTTAGTTAACGGCCTAGCTTAAAAGTATTCTATTTTCTTGGTGATTAATTACTTTCTTTTCAGTATTCTACCTGCTTCATAAGATGCTGCAGCGAAGAAGATTTTAAGTTATAATGAACGAAACTTATAATCAAAGAGCCGATAAAGTTAATTTATCTTCACTTTGTTGTACTTTGTGTTCTAATACGTTCGCTACAACCAACGTTCTAAATTCGCTTTAAACGATCAATAATTTCTGCAACTTACGTTCTTAAAAAGACGATCGGTAAAGTTATCGAGCAGAATTTCATTTCAATCGAGTCGCGTTTCCTAATCGGTATCGGAAAGAAACGAAGCAATCTTGCGCAATCGTATTTAAGAAAAGTCGATGGAAAATAAAAGTCCGCATAAGTATAAAGCATTTCTGACTAGTTTATTAAAATTCAGCAGTTCTACCTGGATCTGAATTTTTGATTCGTCCTCCGGAGCTTCCGATCGAATCAACGGAGAACGGAAGCAGATACGGTTTGGAACAATTCACAACGAACGATATGATTTTCAATGAAGCACATTGATTTCCTCTCTTTCGAATCGGTGTCGATTCACTGTTAAACGAAGGGTATTTCCAGTTAAATACCAAGCCCTGTTTTTCAAATATTATTCGCGAAATATTCGACGAATTTTACGCTTGAAAGAATCGCTAAACTCTTCCGATAATGGGCAAACTTTACGGATCAAATCGAAACGTCGCGATAGTTTAATTACCCGATACTCGATGTCAGCGATAAAATCAAGAAAGGAATATTCGAACGGGAGATTTTTAACGGGGTAACAGAACGCGAAGAGTGTTCTCGAGATTAATGGAAACAAGCATTCGGTGGCCGTATAAAAGCGTGAAAGATAGGTAGAAGGAAAAGAATACAATGGAGATTGTATAGCAGTAGCCAGTATGTTTACACCGGATCGATGTCTCGCGGTACATCGAGTGCAACGATGTTCGATACGTGTCACGTATTCCGTACGGGGATGTCTCGCGCTCGATAGAAATTCTACAGAAAAGAGTTGGAACGTGCGGAACAGCACTCGTCGAGCCAGCAACCGATCGTTTCCACTCGCTGGAACGATTTTGTAAATAGAAGGCGATTCCGCCGTCTTCTTTTTTGTTCTTGTTGCTCGAAAGAAGCGTTTCCTCGGTCCACGCAAATTTGCTCGATTTTCGCGCAGATTCGTTAGAAACGTTCGACCGACGAGAGACGGCAAACAGACGAGGGAAGAAGCCTTTGTTTTCCCCAATGCATTGTATACTGTAATTGAATACCATTTGCATATATGTGCTATACCGATCGATAGACGTTGCAGATTTAGTTGAAATTTAGACTCGAATTTCTGAACGCAAAATTTGAAAAGGAATAATTTAAAACGATAATAATTTTCTTGGGGAAATATTCAAATCGACGCAATGTTAACTCGATTGGATCTCGTTAGCGACGGTATAACACGGTAATCACAGTGTTTGGACTTCTCATGTAAATTCTATGCCTCGAACCCTGTTAACCAGTCGGCGAAGCAGGACTAGTTACTTGGGAATTAAGTGTTCCCTGGTAGACAGGCGCTCACGAAAATTCCGTAACAGTACAATTATAGCGGTTGTCAGCAGTCTCGACGGCGAAACAGCTAAGCACATATTAATTCGCCTACATACGCTGGAACTTTGACTCTGCCATGGTGATCAGAATCTGAAATTAGCGACGATCTCTCGTTTCCCGTCCGTACCGTTCCATGTCGAAAGTGCAGCGAGTGCTATGCGAATATCTGCTGCAAAATGATTCTTCAACCACCAAAATTTACGTAGATTTCATAGTTTCCACTTGTTTCGAACGTTATCGTTATCGGGTAAAAAGTTTATTCTGTAGATAAAAGCGGGAGAAAAATGTTTGAACGAAGGAATCTGTTGGATCTCTAGAGTATCGTATTTTATATCTTTCGATTGTTACGTCCATTGGTGCGAAAGATTTCCAACGTTCGTAAAATTTGCACAATTCCCACATAGCATATTAAATTCTCTCCTGTGTTGAAGCACATCCTTCGCGCTTCTCAAACAAGAAAATCAAACACGATAAATTTTGTTTAAGCAAGTTTAATGCGAAGGACGATATACAGATGACATTACGATACAGGACAGGACAAGGGGATGGCGAATGCACCGAAGCGAAATTACGACTCATCTTCTTTTCGGTCTGGCTAAAAATTTTAGTCGCCTCGAGCACTTGGCTTTCAACGCCATTGGCGACACGGTGAAAGCGTCCTTTCTGAGGTCCGTCTCGACTCCTGCAGGCCGTTCAACCGGCTTCGCCAGGATTATCGTCCTCGGGGATGCTGCGAAATTAAAGACCATGCATCCTTCGCTCTAATGTTCTTCGCTTAAGGCGAACAAACGACCCGAACGAGTATTAAATTCAACCGACGACGACCACGTAGCTTTCCAGTAGAAAAATGCTCGTTTAGTCGGACGCGACGGTTAATTGGTTAACGTGCAAAAAATTAGTTTCTGAATACTCACAGTACCGGTAAAAACTTTACACATAAAACATACTTGAAAAATTGTTAACTGTAACTTGAATACTTGGGTTAATTATTTCTTTAATTTTTTACCAACGATGAGAAACTATACGAGTTAAATCTGCAAGGTGTATTAAATCGTGCAGCTTAACAACGTAATCACTGCAGTAACGTTTTCAGTGTGTTGCTCTACTTGCTAAATATTCTAAGATCCATGTTGGGTGACGAACAAATTAGGTGGTCTGAAACTTTTGACCGACAGTGTATCTCGCGCAAGCACGAGCTAACGAGGAAATTTCCTAGGAAACTTCACGTTTGCTGAACCGGTCAAAGATTCGATGGAAAATTCTAGTTTGTTTGTGAGCGAGGTCGAACTCGTGTAAAACAGTGGGTTCCTCGTTCAACCGTTTAATGGTGGAAAATATTGTTTCAATTATCGCTGAATCAACACGCTGAAATCAAAATGCAGAGAATAGGAATCGTCCTTTGAAAAATTCGTATCTTTTTGACGAACTACCTCGAACTACAGAATTTTCACCAACTCGTCCATTTTCCCCGTTAACTTTCCTTAAGTACGCGCGCGATACTCGTGTGGTTAGAAATCCGTGTAAGCGGTGAGTGGTAAGTTTGACGAGGGAAAAATGTGAAGAAAGGTCGGTAGGTGTACGGTAGGAAAATCCGTGAGGAAGGAATCAGAGGACATCGGGATTGGAAACTCTGATCCTTCGAGTTTGTAGTCCGTCACGTTACCAACTTCAACGCGGGTACTCTGTCATATTTGTGCTTTGACCACACATTTTACGGGAGTAATAAATCTTGCGATTTCACATTTCTCCTTTGTAACGAAATAGAGATACATATTTTCAGAGGCACTGGATGCATACTCGATCGCGTGCACTCCATAAAATTATCGGTTTTCAGTTTCAAATTAATACATCGCGCAACAAATGAAAATAAATTGAAAAATCCTTGCGTAGAAAAATATATGGGAATGTCGAATATGCGATATCGGGTATCAAAGCTAGCCGTCGATACTCAAATTACGAACGATATTCGAAATGAAAGTTCTCGTTGAACAAACATTTGAAACGATTGTTATTTCATCACCCACAGTACCTACGGCTTCCAACGCGGCTGGAGAAACGTAGCCCGGTATCCGGAACATTTCGGCAATATCCGGTACTTCTCTTGGTTGCGAAAGTTCCACCATTCGTTTGCTGATCCTGTAAATGAGAGCCGTTTGAGGTACGGTGAACGGATCTTTGGGTAGCGGTATCTCCCTCATCGAGGGCGTCGACAGTTCTTCGATTCTTCGCATGTTGACTGGCCTCCACCTTTTTCTCTTAAACTGCAATTTATCGTTTTCTGAAACTTTCCGCGTTTTACGCACAATTTCGACGGCAAAGATTTTTCGCAAAAATCTTTCCATCTACCTTCGAAGAGAAGAACTTTTACGTACAGGCATTCTGGGTTTCGGTGGCACCTTCGGAGTCGCCAGTTTCGACAGAATGTCTATGTGCCGATCCCAGTCTTCGGGTTTTATCGCTCGACGTAACTTTGCCATTATTCTTTGTCTGCAAAAGAAACGTTACGACATCGAGGAATATTAACGAATGGCACAAAGAATATTTCGTTAACGTTGACGATGTATTCATGGTGTTCAGGACGACAGGAACAACGGTAAAAGCGGTGCAACGCGGAACAAGGCGAAAGCATCTCCTATTTGTTCGGCAAATTTCTGGACACCCTTGGGCACTATTAATAATTACGTTTGGAGTACACGTGTCTGTTAACTGTTCGCGAATTCCATACGAAGTTTAATAGTGACGTTGGCCAGCCATGAAAATCGGCTAAGTGGATAGCCAATACTTCTCGGTCCCTTTGATTCGATCAAATCTACGACAAAGGATTAATCTCGCCGACCAGATTTTTCGACGCTGTACATCGATCACGAATTTTTCGCTAGTTCAGCTGCGCACTTTTCAAATTGAACCAATCACTATTTTTATTTTATTTTCCATGCCAAATAATACGATTTCGGATCACGCGGCTATTGTCTCTCCTTCCGTTTTTAAGGGTATTAAATCGAAATTCATAATTGCCAAGCGTGAACGTGTTAATAAAAACGTAACGGTGGATTCGGTACATCGATAATCGTTCGGAACGTGCGGTAATTACATCGTGCAATTTGAAATTTTATTCTATAGAGAAGGAGAGAGACGCGAATATTTCTTTTTCGGTGGAACATTATATTCCGCCAATGTCGGAGTAATTAATTATTCGTGAGATATTTTAAATACCTGATACGAAATATCTCGTTTGAAATTTTTAGTATCGCGCGAATTATTCATTTCACACCTTCGAACACCGTTTCACGAAGAATATTACGAACGATATAAAAGAAATTATGCAGGTCCATGTATACAGAATTGCATTTACGTTTGACAGGATCTCAGGGGACGCAGCAAAAGAAGAAACCGTATCCACAATTTTCAAATCCGATTTTAAAAGCGGAAAACATTCGAATGATAATCCGATTGCGTTTTCGTAATCTGTCCCTTAGATTCCCTTCGCAAACCCGAACATTCGCGTTTTGTGCTTCGAAGAATTGCTTACACATCTGCTTTCCCCCCATCGAATCGTGCACAAAGGCACAGGAAGAAAATGCCTGTAACGTTGTCGCGTTACTCACTTCCTCTTCATTTCTCGTTGCTTCCTGGCGTTGCAGAAGAATCGATATCTCCGGTACCGGGAGTTTTGAACTTTCCACAATGTCTCGGCTATGTTGCTGCTCATGGATGCAAAGACCATGTTCGACATCAGCGTTCTAATCGAACAACGATTCGTTAATTCCCTTCGATGGTCTGACTCGTTTTGATGCTAGAAAGATCACCTCTTTTTCGGAAGCGCCAGGTCGATGATGCGTTTCGTGATTTTAGCCTCGAGTGTCTTTGGGTGGATTTTTTGATACAACGGCGGGATTTTTCTAGGATGAAATCAAACGGATTTTTGAAATTTTATTTGACCTTTAAAATTGTGATCGTAACGAAGCGTAGAACGTATATTACTCACGTAAAGTCGTGTTTTTTGGCGACATATTTTGGCCGCGCCATGACTTTGATTCTTTTGGACGCTTTGGCTTTCAATGCAGCGCGACGAGTGGTGAACGGGTTCGCCTAGTAACGCACGGGATTACTGGATCGAAGCATGCAATAGCTCAGCCTTTATTATTCGCCAGAATTGTTTAATCCTCGAGCCACGTTACTTTGGAGATTGCACTTTTCTATCGACCACGAAGCAGGAAGTAAGTCACTCACCAAAGCGTGCACGTTTTTCCATTGGATCCTCCTCCAGTTGGGTCGTGCCAGCAAAGAGATGTGTTGCTCGTGCGATAAATGTTGCATCGCGTATTTGATTCTCTGCGCCAATGTGCTAGCCATTTTCTAAGCTCTGACTTTTTCTTTCTTTTCAGATATCGATTTCGGCGGAAATCTTTTGACGATTTAACGAAACGCGGCGCTAACCGAGTAAAAGAATTTATCAGGGAGAAATTTTGAGATCTAACCCTTAATTTGGACGAGACAAATCCCTCCGAGATTCGCGTTAAAAGTCAATGGTCATCGCGAAACGAGAACAATAGAACGCCGGTATCGAATTCGACCACGTTTCTATAAATGTTTGAAGTTATATCTGGTATAAATATAACATATTCTATTAAAACCGACTAACACACTTTCGCGAGTTTCGATGGCGCAATATTCTTTGCAAAAGTATAGAACGTCTATGGCACAGACCCAAAACGAAATTGATTTTTCTATTGAACTGTAGAATCGAATGGCGAACATGGTACACAGCTTGGTGGAGCGTTAATTGCGCAACGCGATTAAACGTAACTTATTATTTACGACACCTTTATTCTTACGTTCTATTGTCTCGCGCGAATGTAACTAAAACGCTCTTTCGATAATATTCGCAAACATCTCGTGCAAGAATTATCGCGTTGCAAAATTATTTGGTGAGATTCGTGAAAACGGCGATACGGAGCATAGAGGATTTTCGATTAATAACGCTGACGCGTTGAATAAATACGATATTACCTCGGGGAGACCGTGTCACCTATTATTCGGTGGGCAGAATTGCTACTTCGTTTGCAGTTCACATGTCGTGACATTGATTGCGCGTTTCTATTGAATTTCCTCGATACAAAGTTAATTGTCGCTCGGTGTATTCGATGAGTTGACGTACGCGATCGAAATACGGATTATTCAAAATAATATGATACTCGAAGATGCGCGACGTAATAGAAGAAAAGTTTCTTTCTCTTTATAGCGGATAAGGTATCTGAGAATTTGGTGGATTGAAAATCGGCATTTCGGGATGTAAGAAATATAAAAGAATAGTAGATCTAATTTCGCGGTCGATTCGGACTTGCCACATTACGGACCAAAGCTCTTCCGATGAAGATCTCTTAAGGGACATCCGACTGGTTTTATTCGTTTCCATCCGTCTACGGACGTGGACCACTCACGAATCCTCTTTCTATTTTTCCCTTTTTCGACTCCCACCCTTCTACGCTTTTTCTCGCTCGGCATTCTCTTTCTTTTTTCTTCCGTTTCGCCCTTATCCTTTCCTCGTTTCCTCTCTCTTCTTTTTTCGCGCGTTCTGCTTCTTCCGTCGTGTTTCCTTGCTCCGTCAACCCCGCATGGGAAATCTCAAATACGAGTTTGTATATCTGGCACTTGAAATCCCGCTGGATATCGGTGATAAGATTTTACTTCGACCTTACCTTTCCATCAGCGTTCATCAACCCTCCTCCGACTAACCTCGTTGGATAACTACCGTATCCTTGCGAGTTTAACGGCTACGCGGCTCTTGAAAATATATCATATTCGGCAGTGAGTTATGCTTGCTGCAAACTGCCATCCGTGAACACGTTGGAATTTCAACGGCAAAAACGCAGTAACGGTATTGTGACTCGGCGAAAAGCCAGCAACCGAGCGAACACGAAGGCGTTAATAAAAATTTTTCTCTCGTTTCTTCCTGTTGTCAGCTCCACGATACAATTTCTCCGCGTTCTTTCGCCAAATTCTTTCTGTTTCTTATCTGCTTTCATTTTGGAATCTGTCCTTTTATTCTATTCCGTTCGATTTTCTTCTTCTCTTCCTCTTTCGTTGTTTCGATAAATTTCCCCATCTTCCTACGTAATCGGAGACGCGTCTTCGTCCACATTATTCTTCCGTATTCCACAGAATTCTTTCTCTTCCCAATTTTTCAAAACCTTTTCCACTTCTTTTGCCTTCTTCTTTCTACATTAACAATTCTTCGCAAGCTTTTTATTTCTCTACAGAATTATTCATTTGTTTTTTATCTCTTTTGCTCTTTGAAAACATTTTTTCTCTTTCCTCCATAATCTCAGCTGTTCGACCTTTTTTCTCCCCGTTCATTTTTTCCGCAAAATTCTTTTCGATTTTCTTTCTCATTTCAGCTCGTTTCTCTATCGACGAATTTTCCCGCGTTTCTAAAGTGTTCTCCGAGGGACAATACTCTATTATTCTCCTTTAAACTTTAAAGGAATCGCGTGTTTTCTTGGGTCCATCGAGATCGAAAAAGACGAATAGAAGGATCCTCAAAGAAGAGAATAGAAAATCGAATGGATCGTGAAGAGAGTCTTCGTCGATTTAATTTTATTCGGCACGAGATCAAAACAATTTACGTACACGGATACGAAAGGTAACACACGCTGCCGGATAAGCCGACGTTTCTAATTAAATTTTAATTACGGGTCAGAAGACAGAATGTTATTGGCTCTGATCAAGGGAAGTCTCGTTATTAGCGACCATTCTTCCGGAAATCATTATTCGTCTCGGAATCATCGCTCGAGGTATAACAGAATAATTGTTGACAACAATTTTGCAAAAATTAACGAATTACGTATATTCGTCCGACAGTTAATTAATCAGAGTTTCTCGAAATGCTTTCAAACGTTGAAGTAACGCCTGATATTATTTTTAATGTAGCTTCAGTCCAGAAGAAAATTTCAGGACTTCAAACGTTATTAATCTGAACATAGTATATGTAAAATGGTTTTTGGTTCTAGTTGTAAACTTTTGAAGAAAGGAATATAGAATCAGTTACTTAAATAGTCAAAACGATAAAGAATAGAATAAACCATGGGTAAGGAAATGTGTAATTAAAAAGAAATATTTGTTAACGTGATCAGAGTTTGTATGGAAGGTGGATACGGAAGTTTTCGTATCGGGCTCGCGTTTGATGAGGAAGTTCGGTTATTATAGAGCATCGAGAGATACTCCGAAATCGACGAGCTAATCCGATAGTAGGTCGAGAATAGGGAGAAGGATTCCGTAACTGTATCGTAACCTGGAAGGTGCACAAGTGTTCTGTCGTGAAGTGTTATCACGCCAGACCACTGTGAGCTTATCTCCTTCATTGAGATTGGGAGATGTACCATTCCAATTGTCTGTAAATCTATATCGACTCGATTACTCCTGAGCTTTCGCCAACCTACCGAGTGCTATCGGGGACGATTGCGAGCTGTAACGCGAACAAAATTATAGTATCAACCCTCGAAGCTAGAATTAAACCGAAGGAATATTTTTTAGAGTCGAAATAAAACAAAGAAATTCGAGCTTAATTAGTCAGGTCGTTTGTTCGTGTACGATCGCGAGAGCACCAACGGCTTCAATGAATTTCATAGATTTCCTAACTTCAAGGATCTCGAAAGTCTCAAACGCCGGAATTAATAGCCTTCATATCATAGAAATGCTCAACGGTATTCTGCGCAAGCTCCCACAGACTTACGATGATTACACCGTTTTCCCTGCTTGCTCAAGCGTTCCTATAACTTTCGTTGTTTGTTGGAAGATCCTTTCAGGCTGATCAAACTTACAGATGCGTCTTAGATAGCATGTTCACCTTTCCTCTGGATAGTTATCGCGCTATAAAAATTAGTATCATTTAGAGAAGGTTCGTTGAGGACCGCGGAAGGCAATGATAGGTTATCGAATCGATCGAGGGGGATGAAGATGAAAAAGGCAAAGTTTCGGAGAACCGTGACGGGTCCGTCGCAGTCGGTTATCGCGTCGACTTTATCCTACGAAACTGCCAGCGGAAGCGGAGATACGTGCTCTCTTACAGCCACGAAAATTATATCGCGGAAGCGAAGTGTCGGACGTGAGAAGGGGTGCGAGCTTTCGTAAAGTTGGCGGGCGCCGGAAACACGGGGTAACGAGCTGAGATAGCTATGCTTCCCTGCAAGTTTTCGCGAAATTTTGCACTCGACTCCCTGTTGTTCCCACTGTTGCGAACACTCCGGAAAGATAACGCCACAGCACGCTACTTTTCAGACGAACCAATTCTCGTTAATAATGTCGAAGAGTTGGCGCCGACCATTCTGACCCACGATCGGTTAATCCGTGTCTTTATCTCTTTGGCCCTCGTGTGTGTTTTGGATTCGAGGTTCTTGAATTCAAGAAATTTCGGAAATTTCGCGATACGATAAAAATAACGGGGCATCGTTTGTTTCTGTTCGCGCCAATACATTTAGCGCGAATTCGTTGCGCTAGAATGAACTGTTTATCGTCGTTTCAGCAAAAAGAGATTTTACAATTCCCCGTGTAATCGTGGCTCTGCAACGTAGATATAATGCGGCAGAAATTGGGGCAATCGTTGATGCTTGAATTTTTCATCCCCTTCCAGCTTCTGTGATTTTGCATGGAATATTTTGTTGATAAATATTTCTGTTTCTATTAATTACTGTTCACGGAAGAAGAATAGCGTGAACATTGTACGCGGGAGGGAAATCGTTTGTATTTTTAATGAACGCGTCGTTTGATTCTAAAAGCTCGCATTTCATTAGCGAAATGGATAACGAGCATTAACTCGAATTATGGAACAACGTTATTATTAGTTATGATAAATAAATGTATGGAATTTAAATTAATAAGCCTTAACATTGTTGCAGCATACGTTACACGTATCTGGTTGCGTGTGACTGTTACTAAAAGTGGGAAGTACAGGGATGGGGTTGCAGGGAGACTATAAATACGGTGGCAGATGTTTTAGGAAAATAAATAGTTCAAGTTATCAAAAGAGAGAGTTGAATTTAATAGTTTCAATTTTATACATAAGTTTATTTTAACAGTGAATTAATATTTCGATTAAATGTTACAATTTAATACGTACAAGGTTTTCTTCATAAACGAGTACTGTACGGATTTAATGGAAATTCTATTGAAGAATTTAATTTCTTTACAATCTCGAAGAATACGAGCTTACAATGAATGTTGTGCATAAACATAAAATTTTCCTCACAACGACACTAATTGTAATACCATTATTTTGTGATGCGCGATACTACGGGATGACGTATGAAACATTATTCGAGGCAGAAATAATGTAAACGTCAACCGAAACGTTATTA